AGACAAAACAGGCTGGGCGCTTAACGTATTAAAATCCAATCAAACAAGCACACCAAAGCTTTCTTTCTCGAGCAGATAGCCTGTCTTCACAAATCAAACCAGTTCTTCAGCGCCTCTCGGGACAGGATGGTCATGATGTGGGACTTGCACGGCCCCTCACAACCCAGGCAGCAGTTCTCGGGCCATGCCATGGTGGTCACTGGGTTAGCTGTGAGTCCTGGTGAGTAAAGCAGACCCCTTCCCAGGGCCTTTGTACTTTCTGAAAAGCCTGTTCCAAGTCTGTCTCATGGACCATCTTCTTGCCATTGTTTCCAAAGACTCAACACAGCTGTGCACTGGCTCTCGGGACAACACCCTAGTCCTGTGGGGATGTGGGGACCGGACAGTGTGTGGAGAGAGCTTCGGTCTCCAGGAACCTGGTACGAACTGTAACCTGCTGTGCAGCAGGGCAGCAGAAGGGAGGGTGGGGGGAGGGGAAGGGCCTGGGCGAGAGATCAGGAGACCCACGACCAGGCGTTAGAGGCTTGGTCCTCTTTGCTCCCCACCCCTACCTCTCTGTCAAACTCCAGCCTCTCAGGGTTATCGGATTAGATGATCTCTTAAGGCCTTTTGCTCCAGAAAACAATTCCACTAGTTTATATTGGAATCTTAAATGGTGTCCTCACTTACTCCTTCAAAACACAGTTATTTTATTTCTTCTGTGGGCCAGACACTGAGCTTAGAGCAGGGTTAGTGACTAGGGACACAGTCTCTGTCCTCCAGGAGCTCACAGTCATGCTCTGTGTTCTGTATCTATAACATTATGCAGAGAAGTAAGAATGACGTTGCTTTCTGTATAATTTGCTCTGTTTATGAAGACCAGCGTTTTCTGGTACCAGACTGGTATATAAACTCCACAGCCTTGGGGGTCAGTCATACCTGAGTTCAAACCATCAAACCACCACTTTTTAGCTGTGTTACCCTAAGAAACGTACTTAGAGTCTCAGTGTCTTCATTTATAAAATGGGGAGAATTATATCACCCGACATGGTAGATGTTCCTTTAGTGCTCATCAAATGTCAATCATAGTTATCTTTTCCAATTTTGAAGACAACTGTCAATGGCAAGATGTGCTTGCCCTATGCCTTGTGTGTTTGTGGAGGTTCCTGGGGAAAAAGAAAATCCTGTTACCTTGGGTTGTTTTGAAAAGTCTTTCATGCCTGCCCACCAGAGGAATGCAGAGATAAAGTGCAAGAAGAGCCCTTCCTCAACCCTCTGTGGTCTAGACTGTGGTTTCAGTGGTCCTGCTTTACCGCGGGGACTGCTCCCCTGGCTGCCACAGACCAGTAGTTCTTTGCCAGGTGTTTGGGTTCAGGCATTCTAAGAGCGCCTGCATGCATTGGGGTACTCACAACTGGCCCAGCTGCTACTGTTGATGCTGATAGCCAAGGAGATGCAAGGAGAGCATGACTGGTGGGTGTCTGCAAAACATGAAACCCCTTCCTCCAAGTCAAATTCCCTAGGTCAGCGTCCTTGAGAAGTGGTACAGAGATGCTATTTAGCACTGTTTACAGGAATTCCAGCAGAGGAATGACTTGGTCTGGAGACATTTTGAAAATTGTGCTTCTTCCAGGTCACTCACCTGTGTTGGGTCCCCCGAGAACCATATGTACTACAGGCTTCTGAAGATAAAACCATCAGGTGGGCTCACTGAGCACCAGTGACAGTGTTTCTGGTGAAGATTTGTGGCTCCCACGCTTACACGACTCCATTCCCACTCTGCTTCCCTGCATTGCTGTGCCCCTCACTGGTCCTGGGGCCTCTCTGATCTGGCCCCATGGAATCCTCTGTATAGAGGCTGAATGCTAGTCAGGCCAGGAAAAACCCAAAGCAGCTGATTCCACCCGTCCTGGCTGTGTAGCTGTGTGAACAGTCAGATTAACCTCAGGATCAGTCACTTGCTCCTCCCACCCTTTCGAACTGCCTGGCTTTATTTGCTGGCCCTGCTCAGGCTCTCACATTCCCAGTCACCAGCCCTCAGGCGAGGCCCTCTCCGAGAAAGCAGAGTAAGAATCGCCATCAGGGGAATCAAATGAAGTCAACTGTTCTTAGACTAGAGAGCGTGACTAGAAACTGGCTATCAGAAGAGATTCTACTTAGAAAATGGTAGGAATGAGACAAGAGGTAAATAAAATACTCCCCAGTGAACCCCATAGCCAAGGTTGACCAAGTCTGTAAATCTTTTGTTTATGAATCTGGAAAGATGATTGCTCCTCTGTACTATCATAAGTATCTTTTTAAAAAAATTATAGCCCAGCCGGTGTGGCTCAGTGATTGAGTGTTGACCTATGAACAAGGAGGTCATGGTTTGATTCCCAGTCAGGGCACATACCCAGGTTGCAGGCTCAATCCCCAGTGTGGGGCGTGCGGGAGGCAGCCGGTCAATGATTCTCTCTCATCATTGATGTGTCTATCTCTTCCTCCCTCTCCCTTTCTCTCTGAAATCAATAAAAAAATATTTTTAAAAATTAAAAATCTCAGGCACAGAAATATCTTCTTTCCATTGAAGGCAGCACCCCAAAAGACCAAATTAGCTTATATAATTAAGTTGCTTGGTCTAAATTTCTATTAACTAGATCTCAAAATAGAAAGAACTCAGATGTCATTTTGTTATTTCCTGCCAGCTTGGAGTCTCCGAGATTGATCTGGTTCAAGCTGCTATTTTTAGGTATATTATGACTCCATTCTGACTGGCCGAAGCAGCAAAGAGCCAAGACTTTTATGATTGCAGGTGATTATGGTATATTTCAGACACACTTACTATAAACTCATTTTTTTGCTGTCATTTCTTTCAGATTATGGGACAGTCGGGGGCTCCAGGTGGCTCATATATTTCCTGCAAAGCAACACGTTCAGACCTACTGCGAGGTCAGTGAGGACGGACACAGGTGTCTCTCCTGCAGCAGTGGCTTTGGAGGAGAAGGCTGCGAAGCCACGGTGAGGGGTCATGTCCGGTCCAGGTGTCTGGTTGTTGATGAGCAAATAACTTGTACTGGGCCGCACAGCAGGTCTGCTAATGGCTCAGGCCTATTCCGAGTGCAGACTATAAGTGATCCTTTGCATTCCAAATACTTCTTTCAAGAAAGGCCCTTCAGCCGAGGGCTTTCTGAATTGGTTTGGGAAAGAGGAATGGGATGAGAGTCAAGAAGGCTGTATCCTAGAACTGGCCTGCTGATGTCCGTCCTCCCAGCAGAGCTTAGAAAGGAGAAGGACTGTGTGAAGAACTAAGTGTTTTCATTGTACTTGTGGTCACAGTAAAGGAGGTTCAAGCTCTTTAGGAAGTCGGAGTTTCAGTGTTGATCAAGGGCCCACTCCATCCCTTAACCATTTAGCTTTCCTTTCAATTAATTTCAGGATAGGCTCCTCCAAAGTACGTTGGATTCCTAATAGTAGAATACCAGTTAAAGGGGTCATCTAGTATCTAAATAGAATAATTATAGCTCCCATTTTATCAAACATTTCTTTTTTAAAAAATATATTTTATTGATTTTTTACAGAGAAAAAAGGAGAGGGAGAGAGAGTTAGAAACATTGATGAGAGAGAAACATCGATCAGCTGCCTCCTGCACACCTCCCACTGGGGATGTGCCAACCAAGGTACATGCCCTTGACCAGAAATGAAACCGGGACCCTTCAGTCCGCAGCTCTATCCACTGAGCCAAACCAGTCAGGACTATCAAACATTTCTTACACCCAGGCCAGTGATGGCGAACCTATGACACGCGTGTCAGAGGTGACACGCGAACTCATTTTTTTGGTTGATTTTTCTTTGTTAAATGGCATTTAAATATATAAAATAAATATCAAAAATATAAGTCTTTGTTTTACTATGGTTGCAAATATCAAAAAATTTCTATACGTGACACGGCACCAGAGTTAAGTTAGGGTTTTTCAAAATGCTGACACGCCGAGCTCAAAAGGTTCGCCATCACTGGCCTAGGCATTGGGCTGAGCACATTACATGTATTATCTCATTTAATCCTTAAAACAACCACGCGAGCCCTAGCCGGTCTGGTTCAGTGGATAGAGCGCCGGCCTGTGGACTGAAGGATCCCATGTTTAATTCTAATCAAGAACACATGCCCGGGTTGCGGGCTCGATCCCCAGTTGGGGGGCATGCAGGAGGCAGCCAGTCAGTGATTCCCTCTCATCATTGATGTTTCTATCTTTCTCTCCCTCTCCCTTCCTCTCTGAAATCAATAGAAATATATTTTTAAAAAACCACCACCACGTGAGTCAAGTAGTATAATTCCCATTTTACAGATGAGGAAATAGAGACACGGCAAGCTGTACAAGACACACCTCTGGAAAGTGTTGGGTCAAGATTTTAAATCCCAGGCTGCTGATGTGGCATCTTTTCTTCAAGCTAAGCGTTTCCAGCTCCTACACTGTTCCTCAGAGGACAGGGTGTCCAGTGGTTTCATTGTTTTTTGGACACAATTCAGTTTGCTCTCTTACCTGAACATTATTCTCCAGGTGTGGTCTGATCTGTATCAGCAAAGAATGGGACTGGCAGGACTGGCGCCTCACCTGTAGTCAAGGTTTAGTGACTATGCATTAAATCAGCTCTGTGCCTGCATGTACTTATGAGAAGGTGCTCCTAACTGTGGGGTCCCCACAAGACCCACAGATACCAAGAGGCTGATATAAGATAGCTCTTGAGTTGTCATAGAAAGTCAGTAACCTCATACTCTCTCATGCTGTAGGACTTGGAGCTTCGCTTTCCTAACCACAGTATGTTAATGAGGAAGGCAACAACCCTTCAGGCACATTCTTAACCAGGGTTGTTTGAGACATAGTTGGTGCTTAAAATAATCACTGGGTGGATGGATGGTTGGCTGTGTTGTGGATGGGATGGATGAAGGTAAGGGTAGCTACAGAAGTAGGTAAGTGGAGGGAACAGGTGGGCCATGAGATGGAGAGGCGATAGATATCAATGAATGAAGCTGGGGAAATGTATATATCTGAGGTAGCCTATGTCATTACTTTGCAGTTGTGGGACCTAAGACAGACGCGGAACAGAATATGTGAGTATAAGGGGCATTTCCAGACTGTGGCATCCTGTGTCTTTCTACCAAGAGCATTGGCCTTGATGCCTGTAATCGCTACCTCATCACACGACTGCAAGGTGAAGATTTGGAACCAAGATACTGGAGGTAAGGACCCTACTATTAGTGCTTCTTAAAGATAAGTCTCAAAGGCTTCCTTAAAACTTCCTCTCCATTTCTCAGGACACCACGCCTGTCCTGCCACTGTTCAGCCCCCTGGTGGTTAAGACATGACACCAGATACCGGAATCTCTGTTCAGCCTCGGCTAGAGGCTACATAGCTGTTTCTATCATATTGTACAGACTCATCCCTAAGAGCTCAAATATATTTGGCTTTTATATTCTTTCTATTTAAAATTCCTCGGCAGGTTTTAACTTGTGTTGCTCAAAATGTCTGGAAAAGAGAACAGAAATTGCCATTTTAAAATTTATTTTTCAAGGACTAAAATGAGCCTCAGCTCTTGGTGGGGTGAGGTGGAGTAAAGGTAGTTTCAGAAAGACTGTGCCCCGTTTTGACTCTGCAGCTAAGGTTTTTGAAATCGTCGTGACACTTTAAAGCACCAGAGAAAATAGTGTCTTAGGGAACCCAGCTCCCTGGAGTTGTCGATGCAGGGGTGTGCCGATCCAGCTCCTCATGGCTGATTGTTAAGTATTCAGGGATATTTAATACGGTCATAGTGGGAGTATTTATGCCACAAGGTTTGGCAAATGCCATGAATAAAGCTTGTGTTTCCTTCCACCCTGCTGCCTCCATGCTATTCTGTCCTGGACACGGTTCTGCTAAACACAAGAATAGCATTACTTTAGAAAACCTCAAACCAGGTCCCTCCTACAGTAACCTTCCAGAAATCTGGGTCCCATCAAAGGAGGGTAGGGTAGCTCCCTCAGAGAAAGAGGTGAGATCTCGTCAAGGGGCACACAAGCTAAACTTACACAGTAAGGACAGCCCGCTGTGCCCGCCCCTGGAGTTGCCTTCTCTGTCACCTTGGTCACCTCCATGTGGGAAGTGGGAGAAACAGCTTTTTAGCTTCATTAGCATAAACCTGAGACCAGGGGGAATGAGACCTGAAGTGCTGCCCTGCCCACCCGATGTGTGAGAAGGCTTTGAAGTGCAGGTGGAGGGAGACTGGCTCCGCTGGAAGCCCCTGACTGCCATTCATGTTCCTCGTTATCTCTTGTCTTGAAGGGAGGAGAGCCTGGGAAGCCTAACTGAAAACCCGTGTCCCTGTCTGTTTTCCTTCGTCCTGACCCTGCTTTGTTCTCAGGGCAGGTAACTGAGGGCAACTTTTTTTTTTTTTTCCAGACAGAGAGAGAGGAAGGGAGAGAAAGACAGAAGCATTGATTTGTGGTTGCACTTGTTTATATATTCATTGGTTGCATCTCATATGTGCTCTGATTGGGGATCGAACCCGCAACCTTGGCATATCGGGACAACACTCTAACCAAATGAGCTACCCGGCCAGGGCTGAGGGCAACTTTTTAACATGTCCTTGCCAGGGAGGCCCCACGTGTCTGAACACACTTCTCAGTGGCATATAGCCATCCTGTTTGGTTTGTGTGCCATTCTCGATAGTCGAAGTCTTGGGGTTGACCGACTTCCCTGCTAGTGCACGTTCCTCTAAAGCATGGGGTGCCTCTGTTGTGTGGGTTGGAGACATACAGCACTTGCTTTCATTACGTGGAATTCTTACAGACACAGCATTCCATGATATTGCACTCTTGGCCTAAGTGGCTGGTTTCCCACTTCCTCCCCCCAGCCTGCCTGTTCACCTTGTCTCTGGATGGATCAGGACCTTTGACCTCCCTGGCCGTTGGCGACACCATCTCCTTATTATGTGCAAGTTTCCGCAGAGGAATTCACTTGCTCAGAGTGGACCACAGCTCAGGGCTGGGACTGCGGGAAGTGGCAGTATTCTGAGGCCAAGAGACGTTTGCTGGACAAAACCAAGCCATGGCCTCTCCTTTCCCAGTGTGGCTTTGCTTTTCCGTGTTATCTTCAGGGGACGGCAATGTGCGGTTGGTGTTCTTTGTTTAGGTTCACTTGTCTTAGAAGGTATATCAGTGTTAGAAGTCAATGTGAAGCCAGTGGTCCAAAATCAGGTACAGAGTTTAGAGACATGGGTTAAACGTAAGGTTCTCAATCTACGTTAAATCCAAATGCAAGTTTTAGCGAGCTCTTGGGACTGCTCTTCAGAAAAAATATTTATGGCTCAAATGGTGACCTGTTAGGCCTCTGTCATAGGCCTCTGAGATTCAAGACACAGGCTCTGAGTCTGTTGAACTGACCTGTTCCATGTCTCCACAAAAGAAAGAAAAGCAAGGGGGAGAGACACTCTGCTTTGCTTGCCTCAAAATTATCCACACGGGAAAGAACAGTGCAGCTCCATAGAGGAAGTAGACTGCAGACACGAGATTCAGCTCCAGTCACTGCTCCTCGGCAATGTGAAGAAGCAAAGTGAGGGCAAGAAAGCAAAAACCTTGGCTTCTACTCAAAATAGTAGAAGAGAGGGTGTCAGATCCCTGCCAGATCAGCGTGGAGGTTACATGAAAATCAGACTTGAGATGGCTTGAAGAGGCCGACAACCCCAAGGACCTTGTCAGAATTGTAGGAGTTATCAAACTGCGTCTGTGGATAAGAAAATGGAGAGGTTGCGAGATTAATGCTGAAAAATTTTTATGTGTACATTTTAATATTTTTATTGTTTTATGTAAACTCTTTCCAGGGAATGGCCAGAGTGAGGCAAAGGGAATATCTGCAATGACAATAGGACATAAGTAGAGGCATGGACTCAACTGTGTGCTCCCACTGAGCCCCACAGCGAGGAGGGGCAGGGTGCTCAGATCTGCCTGTGTGGCCCCCAGGAGATCAGTCTCACCTGGTACTCACAAGCCCACTTTCCTCCAGGGAAAATAGGGTCCCTCCTGCCTTCAGGTAAGCCCACGCCTGAGACACCTGCCACTGGGGGATCCCTTTCTGATGAAAGAAAGATTGTGCATTTGTCTCTGTGGCCCCTGCCAGCCCCTGATGCCCATGGCTGACAGCCATCTTCCTGTCTCCCTCCTGCTCCTCTGTAAGTCCAGCTCCCTCAAGCTGTCTCTACTGCCTGGGCAGGAGAATCTTAAGCTACTGCATAGCGTCAAACCTGAATTTGACTCTCCAGTTCTCCATTTAGCTGGATCTTGGGCAAGTTATGAAATCCTCACTTGTTATATGGGGCCATAATCATGGGTTCCTCATGGAGCTGTTCTGAGGACTGAATAGAACTATATTAATGCCAAGCAAGGCACCAGGTGCTTATAAATGGTAGCCATTGGTACTCATTGCCCTCTGTCCAGACCAAATGCTCTTTTCCACACATTTACCAGTCATCTATCCTCCATCTTACTTTCTAAGACTTTAGTCATTGTTCAGCTTCCCCTTTGATTCCTTAAGTTATGGCCCTTGGCACTCTGGAAACACAAAGGGATAGTGAGCACGGAAACTGCTTCATTGAGCACCTAAAGATTTATTCTCACTCTGATTCTTATTGTTATTCCCATTTCACAGATGAGGACGCTGAGGCCCAGGGACATCTAGTCCTTTGCCCAAGGTTAGACATG